CACCGATGGGTCTTTTGACAAGGATTCTGGGATTAGTTGTGCGGGAGGTCTTATTCGTGATGAGATGGGCAGGTGGTCTATGGGATTCCTCATGCACATTGGCTATTGTACCATCACTGGCGCAGAATAACGGGGTCTCTATCAGGAGCTCCAACTTGCATGGGATAAAGGGTTTCGTAAAGTCGTTGTGGAAATTGATAGCCAGTGTGTGCTCCAAATGGTCACTGGCTCTAGTCGTGATTTTGGGACGAATAGTGCATTAGTCACGGCAACTCGCAAAATGCTCCAACGGGAATGGAATGTTATTCTTCGACATGTGCATTGCGAAGTAAATTTTGCGGCTGACCATTTAGCGAGCCTAGCGTCTTCTTATCCGATTGGCCTCCATGTGCTGTTGTCGCCACCTCCTAGTGTGGGGGAATGACTTCACCATGATATTATCGGGGTGTCATACCCCCTACGTATTCGTGTCTATTCATTGTAAACCCATTTTGCTCCCAAAAATTAAATTAATTAAAATCTTGGCCAAATTGGCCTAGTTGGTGACTAGGTGTGGGAACTGACTTCATATAGCCAACTACTAGTAGAATTTTTTATTTTTTTTAAAAAAAAAACTTATATTTATTTTATTATAGGAAATGTGAGTGTAATAAATATAGTTGTAAAATAAATATGATGATTTTCTTTCATTCACACATTGAACAATATTTTTATTTATTTCAAGAAAAGTGTGTGAAATGTGGGGCTACAGTTAAGTAGATGAACAATTTCGTAACATTAATGAAATCATTTTCTTCAATATACTATACTAGTACATTCATTTTAGTGATAAGAGTGAGTTGAACTTGAACCACAATGCTCGATTTCTCTACGATAGATTCAAAACAATTCATAATTAGGTTAGGTGACCCCAAAAAACTATATACTAATTAAACTGGATCGTATATACTTATTAAATACCAACTTAATGGACGGACGGACCCCTCACTCAGCAGCAAAAATGGAGGATATGATATTATTGAACTCTTATAATTTTCACCATGATGAATGAGTACTGTTTATGAGCGCACGTGAAGTTTGAATAGTTAGGTGACCTCAATCAATGAATCAATCAATCGATCGATCTGCATTTAATTTTTCTTTCTACCGAGTTTCATGGGATGGATCATGGATGGATGGATGGATGAGGCAATCAAACCCATCTGCATTTTATACAAAATTGAACCTTCCTACAATCATAAACAAAGTCTTGTACGAGTAGTCTGTCTAACTATTAGACAAGTCGAATAAGTCATACTTATATAATAAAATGTTATACTTTTGCTTACGTTGTTGTTTTTTTAAGCAATTTGAAAATGTGTGGCTGTTGAAAAAATATGACCCTTAAAATTTATTTGTCTAGCAATGCAATAGAATATATATATCTCGATTGCATGCCCCTATCAAACTGAGTGCTCTCTTACTTACTACCTATAACCAAATTTATTTGGGGACGATCGGATAGGAGTTACATATCTAAGCTACTTGTGTAAGTTAGTTATTAGCTCCACTTTCTTCAAGTTTAGCTTATTATAAACAAGAGATTGGAAAAACGAGCAATTAACATTTGCATAATGTGGGATTATCATCAAATATGCCAAGATAATTAAAAAAGAATATCAAAATGTTTCAACTGCCACAAACAGTCCCAGATTAATTTGATGTTACTAAGAAAAATAAACTCTGTCCTTCACATACAACAAATCATCCATTTCAACCCAAGTCAAGAGAAACAAACACTGTGAGCAGCATCAGTCAGTTCACAAACAAATTCAGGTAGTTGCAAGGAAAAACCCACAAGTTTTGCTACAAAAACACACACACACACACACACACACACATTTCACTCCTAAATCAACATAGCAGCAGCAGCTATATCGTCAAACTCCACCCTCAGATTCTCAATACTCTGCTTAGTTTCCTGCAGTCGAGCCCCAACAGATGCTATCTCCTTCTCCTTCCTCTCTTTAGCCAACTCCACCTTCGAGAGCTTCCCCTGCAGCTTTCGTACTTGCTCGTTCAGCTTCTCAATCTCTTTCTCTATCTCGGTTTTCTCAACCTGGTGGCCCAAGATCTCACGGTCGAGCTCCCCCACCTTGCCTGCGAGCTTCGCCTCTTTATCCTTAACAGAGATAAGTTGAGCCACGCGAGCATGCAGAGTCACGACATCGAAACCGTGCAGCTCCAGCTCAGCAAGTATCTCCAAGATATCGTCCATGGAGCTTTTGGGACTGTCGAACCGCAGGTTGCAAGTGGTTTCAAACACGCTGGAGAAGTTTACCATGTGAGCTATGGCCAGGCCCTCTCGCGTGCTCTCCTTGACGTTTTGCAAAGGCTGGAAATGTGGGCTTTGTGGTAGAATACGGAAAGCATCGAGTGACTCGATCGTTTTCCAGAGCAAACTGGTCTTTGCAAAAGGAAGGTTTTGGTGCTCGGTTGAAATTTGGATTTGGGTTTCTTGGGGATCTTCTTCTGTGGGCTCCTCCTCGATCATCACTGCTGCAACTTCTTCTCCCTGTTTTTCTCCATTTTCTATGGATTGCTCGATAGCAATCACAGCAGAAAGCTCTGGTGAAAAACCAAAGTTTGTAAGGATTAAGGCTATTTTTGGTAACCAAATAAGCTAAACTTAAAGCTTATAAGCTTCTGTATTCAAATAAGTCTCGTTTGATAGGACAAGCTTTTTTAAAAAACTCCAACTTATCTCATAAGCTTATTTGAGTGGCTTTTCGAATAAGATCATTCAAATTCTTATTTCAGCCAACTTATCAGCTAATTTTACCAAACACTTATATCATATAAACTAGCTTAACTACCTTTTCAGCTACAAGTCATAAGCTATAAGCTAGAAACTCGAAAATCACTTATAAGCTATAAACTAGTTTATCTGCTATTAGCCAGCTAGCTAGTATTACTAAACATAGCCTAAGTATTTTAAGGGGTTTTGTCATTCCTGATGCAGAAAAAATTTATAATAATAAAATGTACTTGATCTATTGACTGCAGATGGAGATTGCATCCTCCTCCCTCCAATCCACATTGAAAGTGGTTGGTCGTCAAGCTCGATGCTGGGTGCTTCAGAATCGGCATTATTTTCTTTTAGTGTTGAGTTAACTTCGGCTGATTTCCCTCTGGATGCATTAAGTGAATCTACAATGCCAAAAAAGGAAAGGATGATTATCCGACACCTAGTGGCACATGCACATAGCAGAATAATAAACAAAACAAATAAACAAACTATTATATAAACTATCTTATAATATTTTAAATATGACCACTTTGCATTCGCTCGATAAATATACCCTAAGCTGGTGTTCCAAAAGATAGTTGGAGTTACTTCTGAATCACAAAAGGATTTCTTTTACAATTACACATTTCTTTAACTGCACTCAACAAATCCAATCACAAAACAATTAAATGAGACAATCAGGGTTCAAACTATAACCCACCAAGGAAAACTTTACCTTCAACTTGCAGTGAAATCATACTCTGTCTTCTTCCTCTTTTCGACACGTTTCTCTCCGGCTGCATAGACTCTTTAGCAACCTTCTCCTCACGCTTCCTAGGAGAGGTTCTTTTTGCCATTAGTCCTCTTCTATCTTTGGGATCCATCGGAATAGTGCCCCCATCAAGAATCATCTTCTCTGAGCTGTCCGTACCAATCGCCTCTACTTCAATAATTCTATTACTATTATCATCTTTTGCGTTCGAATCATCTGAACCAACAAATAATATTGAGCCATTTCCTCAAATATGGATTTTTTACGATATTTAACCCGATAAAGGGCAAAATGAAGAGAGGAGAAGCAAAAGGTGACCTGCCAAGGGAGTCTGAATACTTTCAGTCGGGGTCCTTCGTGGCCTCCTCCCCCTCTTTCTTTTCTCACTGAACTCTCCAAGTTCTAGTGGTTTGATTTCCTGCGGACGGCATAAAAAAATGATATGTAGAACAAAAAATATATTGATAAGGTTCAAAACTGAGAATGGTCTGGTGGGCAAAGTACTATGCAAAGAATATCCCTCTCGTCATCATTGTCAGTTACCTCAATTTTCTTAGTGGAATCACGTAAATTTCGTTTCTCTTTGTTATTCATAGTTCCCTTGCTGTTAGCACTGCAGCTCCTCCCACCACTCGACTTTCCAAGACCAGAGATTACCATTTCCACACATGGCAAACCTATAACAATAACAAGCTCATTTTGATGAGCTGCAGTCTTATCCACTACATCTGGCTTCTTTCCTGAAAGTGAATTCCCAAGTTGCTTCTTAATAATATATAATCATACGGGCATTTTTAAGAAGGCATTACTATACGAGAAAAAGAAAAAAAAAATATATATATATACCCCCGACACCAGGCTGCATATTTTCAACCTCACTGGTCTGCGCAGTGCTATTTTTCATATCACGTGGTGGTGTGGAATTCATCTGGTGCGCAACAATTTGCCCTCTCCGCTTCACGATTTCCAGATACAAATGCAGATATCAAATGATCAATACATATAGAAGCAAAAAATCGGAAGTATTCGTGGATCAATGTTCCACGGTATTTTTCAATGATACGTCTTTTATTTCCTGAAAATTATAATGTAAAACTTATCCACTAAGCATAAAAAGATGTTTGTGCATAGTCCAAACAGAAACCACACTTATGAGCTCTGTGAAAAAAGGTACCTACAGGAAACAAATGATCTATGAAACTTACGATGCTAAAAGGCAAACCCAATCAAATAAAACATTCCAATAAACGTAATATGCAGCCACGGGGTATAGAAAATCCGCCTTCTCACATGCAAAATATGGTACAGTAAAAACTTAAATGTCGATTTACTTTCTAACGTAGTTACTCAGGTACTGCCCATGGCCCACATAGACAATCTCCAAATGCCCTCTTAAATTTGATTAACTGATAATATAGGTGTTGTGACAGATTATTAGATGGAAAAATAACCCAGTGTTTAAAACTTATAAAACTATGGGACATAACAGGCAATGAGTAGAAAGTATGACTTACAGTTCTCATTCCCCAGGAAGGACTATCAGATGAGAGATTCCCTGTGACACTTTGTTTTGTAGGGGTTTCTACATTATTCACCAATGCTGGGCTAACAGAATTGCTCAACAATTTTTCAGACATCCTATCATGTTTCTCCTGTTGTTTCTCTACAGGTACAAGTCCTTCTTTAAGCTTCTTCTGGCATTGAGAGAGAGCATTTTGTGAATCAGACGAACGCCTTCTTCTTTTTGTCAGAGGTGTCATATGAGGTCCTTTCTGGATATCAGGTGTTAACTGCTCCACTTGATCAATTCCCGATGTCAACATAGAGGGAACCTTTTTACGTAACGTGTTTTCTCTATCACCAAAATTGTTCACTTGAAAAGTTAGCACAGAGGCATTGGAACTTTCAGATGTGTGGTGTTCATCCATTCCACCATCTAAAGGCGGGATCATTACATCCTGAATATTTGTAAAGGCCACATAGAATTCCTCAATTCAGCAACTTTCTAGAATGATAGGGAAAACATAAAACAATAAAAACCCCTGGCGGGCACAAATACGCAAAGAGTCAGACTCACAGATCGCTTGAGCACAAGAATTTTGCGAATGCATACCAAAACGAATTTTAGCATCTGTCTCACTCTACAACTCTCCATTCATTCAATATCTCCCTCAATTGTTATAAGTAGTATGATACTATTACTCAATCAAGAAGCAATTTTCTATTTTCAACAATCAACATGCGTAAAAATGAGGATGAGTGCAAAGTTGCATGGCCTCAGGTAAGATAATTTGTTGTACTGATTATAAAGCAACAAAAATCAGTTTAAAAGCTACATGCAGATAAAGACATCTTCAATAAACCTCTTTTAAAACGGATTACGATACGGAAAACATAGAAAAGAAATACAAGGTCTGGTCAGAAACAAAAGGACAAATTGTAGAGTGATCAGAAAAAACCTGGGGAGAAGTGAACCATTTGCCATCCTTCCACTCCATATGAGATCTTAATTCTGAAAGATGGAAATCCTTTTCCATATTCAATTGTTTAAAGGAGACAAGGTATCTACTATTCTCAAGCTCTCTCCGAATAAGTCCACTCCACCAACCACAATCAAAGTATGCGTCAACTTTTCCCAATAAAACAAAATTCTTATCCTTGAGGAGCGGAGGTCGCGGCCTAAGATGGAGGGAATCGACTTTTATTTGATGAGACTGAGTCTTGGGATCTTGATTTTCAATGTTTACCAGATACATTCCATTGCCCAAATGTTGGTGAATTATTGCTCGGAACCAAGCATCCTGACCATCTTCTCGGTCAAACGACACTTCGACCTCTTTTTTCAAGTCAAACATCAACCCTGCAATACTCTACGCCAAATTCAAAAACAACAAAGTAATCATATAACCAACCAACATTTACATGCATCGTCGAAAACTCACCATTACCTAGTTCACTTCACACATTCTGTAAATAAAAGCATTTCAATTATATATGTAACAGGAAAGTTATATCTGATTCTGACCCCAGACCATAGACTGGGCATATCTGCAGAGTGGTAAGCGAGCTAATGCCATCATTTACAAAGTGGGAATTTACAGAATCAAGCTCCAAAAGCTAATGAAACATCAAATTTTCAAATCAATAAATCATCCACTCCAAATACCTTGCGGAACCTCATGAAAACATTACAAAGCTATCTCAAACAAAATAAGGCAGCAAGAACTAATTTGTAGACGTGAAGTAACACGTCCCAGATTAAAACAGCATCCCCAAGCCTGACACAGCAATTATCAAATCAAGTTCTCTTCAGACCCTTTAAAAGGAAAGGCAAAAATGGGGGACAAAAAGGACAAAGTCATGAACTTTGAACATCAAAAGCTCTGAATTTTGATTTTACCTGCCTGGCGGGTCGGACCCAACTCCCATTAACCCAATCCCAGTGAACCCTAAGTTCAGACAACCCGAACTCCCGTTCGTCAGGCGGGTTTGGAAACGTCACGACGTACCTGTTCTCCGCGCCTTCCTCCACAACTCGAGTTACGGTACCAATCCACCAGCCGTCCTGGTACAGAGCGTCGACGGCGTCGCCCGGCCCGAAACCCCCGACGACCTCCTCCAATGGCGGCGGCGGCCTCACGCATGAGACGTCGACGTACTCCCTCAGCAGCTTCGATCTACCTCTGCCAGCCAACAAATTCCGGTACTCCACTTGGATTTTCCTCGAATTTCTACCGCCTGATGATGTCACGGTAGCGGAGAAAAAGGTGTCCTTGAGGCCTGCCTCGTGGGTTCGAACTTCAACTGAGGCGCGTACGGGGAAGGGACCGGGATGGACTCCGGCGCGGCGGTCGCCGTCACGGAGGTGGTGGTGGGAAGACAATGGGGTTCTATTGGAGTGCGGTCTGAGTAGTGAATGCGTAGCATCACCGCCCATTTTGTGAGTGAGGTTTTAGGCAAGGGGCTTATTGGTCACTTTTGCAGTCTCACACACCCTCCAAATCCCTACAAAAAGCAAGCCCTAGTTCTTCCAACTTTCCCCCATTTGATTCTTTCTTTTTGAAGAATCAATTTTTTGTGTTGATAAGCTTGCACTTTTGTAGTTTTGTTTGTATAGCTTTGGAATGTTTTTGATGTTTCCTTATGACTTTTTATGTTATACTTGTATATTTATACACGGTAAAAGGTAACAATTCATCACAACTCTTTGCTGAGTCATTTTTTACTTATCGAGTTCCTGAAGGGTCTGCTCCGTGCAATTGGTTTTGTAATCGGTAAGTCCGTTCATATTGAGTGACGCGAACCTGTTTTGGGCTACAACCCATTTCATATAAGAAGGCGAGATCAGTACGAATAATGTATATTGTATGTTATGAGATGAGATCGGCGTTAAGAAAACGTCATACCCTTATCAATACCCTGTTGAGATGTCGGCGCAAAGACACAAGGTGGCTTTGTACTTAAGATCAGTATTTGTGTGGAATGTCGATGTAACTTCATAACATCAACAAGACCGATTTTATGGTGACTTGACTAACGTAATTGTTGAAGATTTAACTTCATTATTGTCTACATTGTCCACGTCGACATCATTAACTGAATCAATCTAGATCGGCCAAGATCATCCATATATAACTAGTTGTATGTTAAGTACTCAACTCCGATAGAATCAAATACTTCAATAGTGTATACATGTTTATGGAATTTTAACATTTCATTCCATCATTTTAGTTTTTTTTTGTGTGTGTGTGTGTGTGTGTGTGTGTGTGGGGGGAACTCATGGTGCATAGTAAATATCACTTATTAAAATATGGTAGGTATCCTCGAGAAGATTAAAATTTCCTTGGAAATTGTCTCTTTGAAAATAGATGACAGGATCAGTGGTAGATGCCTCTGATAAGTGGTTCTGGGAAACTAGCATCCATGTGTGACTTTAAAATGCTATTGGAATATAGTCCCCTTCTGTAGGGCTTTGAGTTGCACCTCCTTATTGAGGATCATAATGGTATTATTATGATTCTTTGCTTACCAAGTTACAATAATGAAATAAGCTTGGAAAAGCATGATATTCTCGTTGTAACTCATCTTTTAAAAACTAGTACATTTATCCTTTGGCTTAGGTGCCAAAAAGGTATAAAATCATGTTAATAAAAGTAAATTATCACAAATGCAACCATGGCTTTTGTATTTACATCAACAGAAGGTACAGAAGAGCTCACAGAAAGTATTTTAATTAGGATCCAAGTAAAATACCTAAAACTAAATCCTACCTCCTCAGAAATTGTCCATTGAGCCCACGCGTAAAATTATCCAGCAACTCCCCATGAGCACGAATGCCCATTTCCAGCTTCCGATTGGTTGGAACAAGAGACCAACCCATAGAAAAAATTTTCTCCACTAACTCGTAATTAAAATGAAACCAAGACGAAACAGTTGTAGCAGTTAGTCTGAAGCTTTGTATTTACGGGGCCTCTTGGTCTGAGCAGGTGATGATGGGGCTTCTGAAACTCTCCCCGGCCCCTTCAACACATTTAATTGCAATCAAGTGGTTATCTAACAACAAGCAAAGAGAATGAATAACAAAATGGAGATTCAGAGCATACCTTGCGCTTTTGTTCCCTTTTACCAAATCTTTCCCCTGAAAATCAATGCATTGAAGTCAAGTTTTAACGTGTATTAGAAACAAAGTCAGAGTATCGTGTAAGGCAAAATCAAGCCCCAGTTGATTATTACCTCCAATGCTAACGGAATCGGGCGTAAATGTCCGATCAAGCTCTGCTGCTCGTAGTGACTGCTGTAGAACACAGGATTTATATACATAAAAGAGGCTATTTAACCAACATGGAATAAAACTAAATAGAGCAAGACTCTCTCTCTCTCTCTCTCTCTCTCTCTCTCTCTCTCTCTCTCTCTCTCTCTCTGTGCGTTGTGTGTGTGTGTGTGTGTGTGTGTATTGCAGATAAAATACCACATTATAATTACCACATACCTTAGGAGGTGTACCAGGAGTTTCAGTATATGAACCATCACGAAATGATGATCCCTCTGCCTCCTTGTATTGCAACTGATGATTAACGATATAGGTTAAAGAAGCAAGTGAAAAGGATGAATAAGGCTACGCTGATAGTTTTAGTCTAGAAAATATGCAACAAACTTATTTCCAATTAGGTTTACTCAATCAAAGCCTAAAAATATTATTTAAAAGGTGGCATTTAAATCAATAAAATTTAAACCTGGCATACACTAAGCAGATTATATGTTCGGCATAATTTAAACTGATTGCATAAATCCTTGGAATATCTACAACCAAAGAATCATATCAAGAAATTCTGAGAAAATATTTTTGAGAAATATCCAAAATTGACAGCTGACAGTTGATGCACTAAGAGAGAAGCTTAAGATAAGTATAGCAGACGTCAGCATTTTACTAGTCACCAGATTAAATAATACAAAAGAAGATGGAATATTATAGTAGAACATAATAAAAACCTGTTTCTGAAGATTCAAAAGGGTTAGTATCTCCTTTCTTAGTTCAAGATGCTCCGCACACACAGCCTTTGTGGGAACCTTAGGTTTCAAATTCACCTGTGACACATGAAAGGTGCCTCAACCATTAATTCAATGTTCACAAAATACCCACACTGTCACAATTTAATATCTCTTAAGACAGCCGAGAGTTGGAGCTAAACCAGTCATAAGAAGAAGAAAACGAACCCCAAGATCTTGCAAAGTCTGCTCAACCCGTTTGATAGTTCGAAGCCCCGCTGATGAACTTGCAGCTTGGACCATTTGGTCAAGAGCATATGTCCGTAAGTACACACGTAGCTGCATGTTTTCCATTAATATAAACAACAAACATAAAACAAAAAATTGGCATATCGAAAAGGCAATAAAAAATTAAGTATAACAGGTCCATAAAGAGACAAAAGTACTCTCCACGAGAACGAAAATAAAGAGAAGCCACAGCATACTCTATAATGTAACTGATTTGAAACATACCATGCGAAGGGAAACCATAACTGAAGCAGTTTCTGACACAGTTGTAGTAGAAGGGGGAATCTGAGGATTTGATGAAGGGGCAAAAGTGCCACCAGCAGTAACAACCTTATCAGCACCAAGTGGTCCACTATCCGCTAAGATTGGTAACTCTGGCTCTACAGGAGCCTGAGGAAGGAAGGAAAGAATATAACACCCGAAGTCAGACTCTAAATTATTACAGACTCAAAAATGAAAATGGGGGTTAAACAACAATATGCAGCAACCATGTAATTTAATATTTTACGCCTGTATTTCAGGAATCTAAGGGGACAGATAATTTGGGCAGACCTTTAGAGTCTTTCGAGCTTCAGTTATTCTTTTTGCATGAGCAAGAACCTGACAGTGGCAAGAGTCAAGAGGAAAACCATAAATGAAAAGTGAAGTTTCTATTGAATATAATTAGTGAAAATCACTGGGAATGCAAACTATTTATACCTCAACATCTTTGCGCTCTTGCTGCTTTGTATGCGAGAGCAACAAGTTCAATGCCCGTTTCCTTTCAGATTCTTGAGAAGCATTATAAGGCTCCTATTTAAATGGACAGTGTTTTTAAGATAATAATATAAATGTCAACATCCAGAATGACAACCTAAATTCGTGAAAGACCATTTTAAAAGGCTCAGGGCACATTTTTCATGCTAGACAGTAAGGGATAAGGCGATACGTAATTATGTTGAACCTTTACGAGTGGAGCCCCAGCAACGTCTACAGAAGATGGAGCCCTAGCAATAGAGAGAGCTTTAGAAACTGCAAAAATTATTAATAAAAATCAGAACATACTTAGCATTGCTCAACATTAAATAGCATAAAATGTCCGGCTATGCTTCATAAAATATTCAGGGTAATTAAAGAAAGAATGAGTTTCTGAATGAGATAATGATAGATGTACCACTATAATATCGATCCTTAAGTTCCTCAATAGTTTTTGATGATGGAAATCTATCAGCTACAACAATGAAACGGAGATCAAATCTTTCACACAAATCAAACAGTTGATCTGTCTCTTCCTTGGTCCATGCCTAATAATAAAGAAAGAAAAGTACAAAAATTATAAGTACTGTTACGGCATAGAAAAGTAACTCACAACAGGATAATACATCAAGTGCGTGTAACCATCACATTAATGTCCAACTCAGATAATCTGAAGTCAGTAACATAAGTCACTGAACACTTAAATTCTGGCCTTTGAAGGTTGAGTTTTCAGGAATGAGTTGCATTGATTTGGTAAGCTAGAGTAAAAATCAACTAATCATCTTATACAAATCATTATTCAAGGTCCACTGAATTACAAATCATTAATCCACAATACGTACAACAAAATATACAAAAATGAACTTTGAAATACAGAAAAACCAACTACGTGGACGTACAGGATTAGTCAAGTGCTTTTCATACTCCTCATCCGTGTACCTGATTACATCAACAGACTGCATTGCATCAAATACATGAACTATTAGATGTCAACGAATAGACAAACAAACAACGAATTCAAACCAATTGTCCTGATGGGCACTGTAAAACACTTTGACATACTTTGTTATACTTTGCAAATGAATAGTCACCGGTTGGTGGATTGCCATTTACCACTCGAACCTACAAAAGAGGCAAATAAAGTCATAATTCTGCGTGCACAGGAATATCACCAATTGATGGGCGAATTTCAGGGAACTTACCCAATGGAAAAGCTGCAGGTCGTCTTTCCTGGCAGAACTCGTAAATGGAAGCCATTGCCAAGTAATCTGAACAGAAAATTCTTTCTTAAAAAGAGCTGTATAGTGTATGCCCGTTTAAATAAGTAAAGATAGGAAATCCAAAACACAAGTGAACCTTCTCATCGCCGCCAGCTTGGGCTTTACGTTTCAATTGATTCACATCAATGGCGGGCATCAAAGGAGCCAATCCACCTGTAAGAGCGTAAACCTAACACACATACAAATGCAATCAAAAAAAA